ATAGTGACACGTACCAGATTTCCCTCGTCACCTAAAATTTTAAAAAAATAAATAAATAATTCAAGGTATCATATGGTAGCGTCTACATGCATGGTGCATTGGTGCGTGAGTGGGATAATATTGCCTAATTAACAAGTGAAGTCGTCGTCAACACTCAACATGAAACATCATCTTTTGGTTGTTGATTAATTAAAAACAATAATTAATTCCTAGTATTGCATACATCGTCAATGTTTCAAAAGAGACATCCATGAATTGAAGGAGAAGGGAGGGTGGGGATTGGAAGGCAAGCCATAGTTTATGGTCACTTTGATTAAAGGTAAAAAGTCTACACTACACCTAAACATACACACATAAAGTAATCAAGATTACTCAAAATACTTACAAAACAAGGCATTTTAGAAAAAATGACACATCCGGATAATGTTACATATATCAAATATTTTATTTTATTAATTTATTATGCAAATGAGGTTCAAGATATAGTCGGTCAAAATCAAACGATTACTACTAAGTCAAAAGAGATAACTAGTAGCAAATGCATAATTTTATTTTCTTATGTTTAGTAATAGCTTTCAATGGTAAAATGTTGGATAATGTTGGACTTGGCCCACCAGATCTTCGCCTAACGGTAGTCTTGCATGCATTAAGTTATATATCTTCTAGGTAATAGACTTAGTTTGCATTTACTAGTGTGAGAAATTCTTCATTTTTCTGAAAATACATTTACTTGTTTATTTGAAAAATATGAAACAATCAATATGAGTGTTTAACTAATTAATTATTAGCTTTTTGTAACAACTTATTGCTCCAAAATGTTAAAATTCAAAAAGATGTTCAAACTAACTTTTTCAATCAGCTTTTTGAGAAAGTTATTTTGCATGTAATTAGCTATCAGCTAATAGTTAATTTGTCAAACACTTTTCTGCAATCAGCTAATGCTATCAACTAGTCAAACACACTAACTCAATCAGGTAACCGCTAGCAACTAATTAACAACTATTTACCAAACACGCCATACAATTTTAAATTCAAATGTTTCCAATAGATGTATCTAGAAAAGTTCCACCAATATGTGATGAGTTTTAAGTCTGACAATTTATGAATAAACAATAAATATGAAAGATTCTATAAACCTCATCATTTGATACAGTAGTATTTAATACAAAAATTTTATCCTAATAACAATTTTCATGGGGATAATGATGTGCAAAGTGAATCATTCAAAGATTTAGTACAATCCATTCTTAATTAAATTAATTAATTACCGCTTTTAATATAAGATTAGTGTACGAGAAAGAGGTAATATATAGTAGACAAAAGCAAGTGGGTATGTGGCACTCTAAGGTTCCTACATTATTTCAATTAGTATTCTTCATTCTGGGAAGATGCTAGCTGTCTGTGTTTTCCAAATCCTTTTTACTCTTTTCTTTAGTTTCTTTCTGCAAATGTTTATTGCCCCATCACAAGCTCACAAGCAGCTTTAGCACATGCTAACCAATATATAATTACTATATGTGTTGTGTTTTGGATCAAATTGTCCTCTTGTTTTTTATTATCTAATCTTATTTTAGTAGTGTTTATTTGACATTTTCTCTTAGTCTAGTCTAGTCAATTTCTGACGATAATAAAGTAATTATGAATGTGTGTTGGGCAGAGGTTTAGAGGCTCGAGTCTAACATCTTACCATTGAAACATGGTGTTGACTGTTATGCAAGTATAAAAATAAATTATGCTTTAATTCGTTATTAATTATAATTTTTGGTTAGTAGTAAGTGCTTAACCCTGCCAATTGACATCATATCATGTTATAGGTTGTTGGGAGGGAGAATAAACAGGTGTTGGGAGAAAAAACGTGGTACTGATTTCTTGTCTAGAGTGCTCTAATGTGAATGTGATGATTGTTATTCACATCTGTCAAAGTTGTGTGCTGGACTTATATGGGACTTCCAGGTCTTGAGCTACTCGACTAGATGGTTATTTAAGATTTATGAGTAACATTTTAGCTAATAGCAACTCAATATTCATATCTGAAAAAAAAAAATCAATTAAAGAGAGTAATTTATTTTATTAGAAAACAAACAAAAAATTATTATCTATCATTAATTTTTTTTTGGACACAAATGAGAGAGACCCCAAAAAAAGACAATGCCCTTTTCATTGCTAGATTACAATGTGAGACCAAATTCCGAGAACCTCGTCCTCTTTCATAACTTTGGATTTTGACAAGTCTTGAGGAATTGAACACTTTTGTGCTAGGATTTTCTTTATCTCCAAAGTATCTCTATTGTATGTGCATTGCATTTGATAATTTCTACAATTGAGAACAAAAGCAAAAATCGTTTCAAAAGGTTTAAGGATTGGGTTTCTATTTGTGTACATATGTTTGTGTGTTTGGATAAGATATGGATCGCAGGCCAGGCTGGGCGGTGTTGCAAAATGCCGAACACTATACAATCTCTTTCCAGTTTTTCATGTTTCCTTCTAACCTTACTCCTAATTGGCTTTTTTCTCCTATTATTAGTATGAGAGCCCATTTTGCTATAGCCTTCTTTTTTGGATCCCACATTACAAACTTCCCATTTTCTGCAAATCTCTTATCTTCTCTAACTTCAATTCTTGTAAAATTTAGCATCTTTTCATTAGTTTTATAGATAAATTTTATGGTGTCAAGGAAGTAATATAATTAAGAAAGAAAATAAGGGTATAATAGTCAAATCATATCACTTTTTCTTCCCATCTTTCATGGAAAACAAAATCCTTGATCCAATCAAGAATTTTGTTTTACTCAAATTTGAAAAATTCATTTTCCAATTTCATGAACCAAACACCAGAAAACAACATTGGTCACCCACTTAAACCCCCAAAAATCCCTTCTTTAAAAAAAAATAATAAAATTGTCTAACTACAAGTTTCCTTGGCCGACACAAAGACTAATCTTGTTCATGAATCCTGTTCGAAGCTCAAACTCAAAGAGACTCGCGTTATTTCATTCATACCACATTTAAATTTGTTGCTACCCATACTAATATGGGCTGTTGGTAGGAATCATATTGGATTGGAACCCCTAAATTGGCAAGCCTGGGCCTTTGATGGATTAAACTATATCCAACATGTGTCTTTATGGGCTGAACTAAAATATACTTTTGTTAATACTAAGGAGCTTAAGCAATTTTTTTTTTTTTTTTGAGCAATGAAATAATATAGATACTATCTTCACCATTAACATCAAACTTCAATTGATTTATCTTTGTCTTCTTCTAATTTCAGTAGCTTGTCTAGTTAATCTGATTGTTATATATAACCCTAGTGAGTTTGGATTTATATCTAATTCTTAATATTATTTATTATATATGAACTGAAAGGGTGTTCGTAGTCAAAATAATTAATATTTAGTTTCAATTTTAATAATTTTTTTTTTAAAATAATATTACGTGATACACATGGTACAAGTGTAAGCATTGTATTCAATTGCTACCACGGAATTTTGTATAAACATTTCTGAACAAAACAAATTAAAGGAAAAAAAAAAAACAAACAAACAAAAAGAAGTGGAAGTATGACTAACACCTCCTGAATTAACCTTTTGTCAAAACATTGGAATAACAAAACCAAAACACGACAAAAATAATCATTATCATAAACATGAGTGATAGACAAAATTAGTTAATATCAATAATAACATTATCAAGTATGACTTTTAATTTGAATATGAAATCAAATTTAAATTGTCATTTTTTTTTTCTAGATAAACAACACCCATGCATAATACCTTGCAAATCACCAAAAAAAAAAAAAAAAAAAAAAAAAAAAAAAAAAAAAAAAACGCTTAGGAAAACCTTGTGCGATGTGATCGATTAAGATGATACTGGCAAAAATTAAAGTCATGATCTTCTGGTACGAGAACGATACTCTACTCACTTGAGCACCTCTTTCTGTGCAAATTGGCCATTTAGGAGACACTAATGATATTGTTAATTAAGAATGCATTTGATTTTTTTTAGGGGAAAAAAGAATGCATTTGATTAATTTACTAATAAATCAATTATATTTCTATAGTTAAATGTTTCCAAATTAATTGTAATCTTTAAAATCAAATAGTTTCCTAATATATTTGGTGCTATTTAGTAAAAAAAAAAAAAATTAATTAATTAATGATTGCTAGATATATCCCCCAAATTACCTTACAATATACTCCTTTAATCAATTGCCACTTTAGCAGCATGATGTTAAAATTGTTGAATTCAATCATATGACAGTTGGGCTACAGCTCACCCCTACCCCATCCCCCATTCTCAACAACCATTCTATACTCAAATTGGTATATTACTAATTTTTATTCACATAATTACATAATATTCATTTTAATTTTATTGACACTAATAATTAAAAAAAATTAATCACGTTATAATAAATGTCAATTTCCATTATACAATCACTATATATATATATATATATATATATATATATATATATATATATATATATATATATATATATATATATATATATATATATATATATATATATATATAAGGAACTAAGTTATATATAAAAATTGCAACTAATTTTTAAGCTAATAAATTGAAATAAATTGTAAATTGTAAATAAAACTTATAATAAAGTATATAAATGTGTATAGTTTATAATAAAGTATAAAAATGTTATAACATGAATAAATGATAAATAATTTGTGTTTCGATTGAATTTAATCTTTTTCAACTGGTAGAATATAATTTTTCCTTTTTTTTCATATAGAATTTGTACTTATTATTGTAAATTCTATTTGTAACACAGACATTTGATTACATTTTTTTTTTTTTGGAAAAAAAATGATTTCATTTTTTTTTTTTGGGGAAAAAATTGATTTCATTTTTAATACACATTTATAACATTTAAGGAAAAAAAAAAAAATGTATAGTGGTGAGGACCCGGAGAAATGGAGCTCCGATTGGAAGCATGTGGATCTTCTTCTTCACCCATCTATATTGTATAGCCGTATAAAATGGGCGTGAAGAACCAGACGCGTCTTCACCAACTTCAACTCAGCTCTTCTTGAGTTTCACATTGGATCGGATTGAGAAGCGGGTTGGGGGCTAATGGGGAAAGGGGGAGGCTGTGTTCCCAGCAAGAACAAGCTCCAGAGAACCAACTCCAACAACCGATCGAAAGCGCCGGAGCCCGTTATTTCCGGCGAGCCCAACTCCGGCGCCACCGCCGACAGGGATGCTAATTTGGCGACGGAGTCCACCGCGGCCGTTCAGACCCTCAAAATCTTCATCGTCTTCTACTCAATGTACGGCCACGTGGAGGACTTGGCGAGGAGAATGAAGAAGGGGGTGGACGCCGTGGACGGCGTGGAGGCCGTGCTTTACCGCGTCCCCGAGACCCTTTCCGATGAGGTGCTCCGCCAAATGCGGGCCCCGCCCAAGGATGACGATATCCCGGAGATTGCCTCCGCCGCGGAGCTGCCTGCCGCCGACGGGTTGTTGTTTGGGTTCCCCACGAGGTATGGGTGCATGGCTGCCCAAATGAAGGCGTTCTTTGACTCTACCGGGCAGTTATGGAGGGAGCAGAAGCTCGCCGGAAAACCTGCCGGGTTCTTTGTCAGTACTGGGACTCAAGGAGGTGGACAAGAAACAACTGCGTAAGCTCTTTTTCATTTAAAGTTCGTTTCTTTGATGATTAGTCCTTAATCTTTCATTATCTCTAGGAACCAATTTGCTCAATTTTGCTACTTTTTGTTTGGGTAGGGAGCTTTTTGTATGATCCCTTCAATGTTAATTTTCTTGATCCCATTTGAATAGTTATTGTTTGCCTTTTCTTCATCCAACTATTGAACCCTATGATAAAATGCATAATGTTGTAATGGAGAAGGAAACCTGCAGCCACTACCCGAGTCTGCTTACTAGGTAAACCTCGTCTTGTGACCATAGCTGATAAAGAATCACAAGTAGGTAAACAAATCTAGGTTTCCCATAGTTGATTGGCTCGAACCAAGAAGGTCAATTGGCCACTCCCAGAGTCGAACTTGTAATGTTGTGGGTTGCCCATGTTGCCCCATTTATTGGGTCCTCAATTGTTGTTTTGCTTTGGTGATTTCCATAAAAGTCTAGACACTATCGTGTATACTGGTTAAGTTCAAGTGTGTATTCTAAATGAAAGAATGAACTTTATGAAAATGTCTATTATCTAACCTTCAACAGGAATATCAAAGGATGAACTTTATTGTAACAGAAAGTGAAGTTTTGCAGTAGAAAACTGAAACTTGAGATGCTATTTTTCTTCTGAAAAAAACGGATGCAATCATTATTAGAAGTAATTTAGGTGTTTTCTTGATGGAGTTTCAAATATGTAAAGCATCTGATTTGTATGCCTGGATATCACTTATGAGAGGTGGGAATTATGAAGCAAGCCTAATTGGTGAGCGTGAAAATGTTTTCTTGGTGGAACAAAACAGAGGTCTTAGAAGAATAGGAAGCTGTGAGAAAACAGTCCAGTTTGTTTTTTTTTTTCTTTTTTTGAGCTGTGGGTTAGAGAAGAATCCCAAAATGGCTAAACGAGAATTAGTTGTTAGAAGAGTGACCTCAAGAGCTAGGGACATGGGGTTTTTGGGAGGTGAATCATATAGCATATAGTTTCAATACTGTACAGTGTCTTGAACTTCCGGCCTGTTATTTTCGACATTGATTTCTCATTTCACTATGATTATTGAGGGCCGTGATAACATTGATTTCTAGGGGTTTTGTGTTATTTTCCAAATCAATGCTGATTACTATGGTTAGTATGTGTTTGGGTCAGCAGGGTAGTTCTGGTCGTTTGAAATGAAACATGTGTCGTATTCATTGTCTTGTTTATGAAGCAGAGAGTACTGGGTTCATTCTTTTCACTTGTTTGAAGGTCGAGAACGTAATGCTGTTTCACTATTTACTTGGATTTGTAATTGCAGTTGGACCGCAATCACCCAGTTAGCCCATCACGGGATGCTGTTTGTTCCAATCGGGTACACATTTGGGGCTGGTATGTTCAAAATGGACTCGATCCGAGGCGGGACTCCATATGGGGCTGGAGTTTTCGCTGGCGATGGGTCAAGGGAAGCAACAGAAACTGAGCTTGCACTTGCGGAACATCAAGGAAGGTATATGGCTGCTGTTACTAAGAGGCTGGCTCATGGTTGATGCCATGCAATTGTGTTCACTTAAACTTAAAAGTTACACCACATATATACATCTCGATCTCTTTTCCCTATAGGTGAGATGTGCCTTGCTTTTGTTGATGCTTATAGTCCAATTTAATGATTGTCCATTAAGATGCAGATCTCTCTCTCTCTCTCTCTCTTGAAAACAAAATGTATATTTTCCATCTTTTCATCCTGTGTCTAAAAGGTTGTAATCTGTTAATTCATTCTTTGCTGGACACAATTTATTGCAGTATATGTGATTCCCAGAGTTGTTTGGTTCTACTTTGTGGTGCAATCCTTTAGGGGTGTTTAGTCGAAGGGATTGTGAGTATTGAAACTTAGATTCTTATGATTGGTTCAGGTTATATTAAATTTTTTCAAGAAATGTACCATATCTTCAATATCAAATTTTGAAGGGAATGCAGTGATTCAGTGAGGGAATTAGTCACTGTGTTCGACGTTGAAAACTCTGGGTACACCCCAAAATTTTTTTTTGAAGGGAATGCATCACAAAATGTTTGGTTTTTAACGTTCCCAAGCATTTTTGCCTTTTTAATTCAAAGTCCAAACTCATTACAATTTACATGTACATTTGATTGAACTGGTTAATCTAAACATTACAGGCCTAAAATGTTGTAATCATAGGTTGAATTTGGATTGATTTATATAGGTAAACGTAATAGACAGTGTATAAAATAGAGGAATGAGCTTTAAGAGGCTCAGAGCCTTCAAAGTTACAAATGGAAATGAATTCAAAGTTCGGAAAATGACTATGCGAAACTGGTTGGCTTTTCTACTTCAGAATCTAAAACCTATTAGGCTATTACTTTATGAATTGTTAATGGTTGATAGGGTTGATGGCCACAATTTGTGGTGTGTTTTTGCTTTAGTTTTCTTCTCCATTGTATTGACCAAAAAGAAAAAATTGCAACAGCAGCAGAGTTGGTCAGGCGGTTAACTTGGCAACCACAAAGTAACAAATTCGACTCCCAGTGAGTGAAGGTCTATTAACCTTCCTGGTTTAAGCCGATCAACTATGAACAACCTAAGTTAGTTTACCTCATTGTGGTCATTCTATTGGCTAAGCCATATACAACTTAGGCCTTCAAGCAGCTACAAGTATGAAGAGAATATCTAAACATAATTGATGAAGAAGGGAAAGCAAAATAGTCAAATGCTATTAGCATCACAATTCATTCATTAATATAGAATCACACAAACTGTAATAGAACTCTAACCCTGACCAGACATATGCTCCTCAGTCCTCACAGTAAAGTAAGTGAACAATTTTGGTAGCACAGAGTGACTTTCTGAGCACAGTAACTGTACAATAGAGAGGATGTAGACCACCTAAGTGGAAGCAATAATGGGTGACTGCAAGTGAGTATATTGTGCTAAAAGGGAGTGTTACAGCATAAAAACCACCTTCAGATTCATTTTCTTTCATAGAGAATCTAAATGAGGCTTAAGCATGAGCTTTTCCGCTCCCGAGTTTAAGCTCTAAATCATCCATACCAATGTCATGTATTCTCTCACCCTCCCATGCCATCACTTTGGCGTTTTCAAAATCAAATTCAGAACAACGTGTCCTTTTAGCTGCTCCTGCCCAATCAAAGTCTCTATGGACATTAACGCCAATTAGAGGAGTGGTCTGCTGAGAAAACGGCTGCACGAGATTAAAAGTAGGAGATGTTGGAGCTACCAGAGGGATCCCTGTCTGGGAGCTGACCCAACGAACAGAATCAATTGTAGAGGCATCAGACTCATCGCATTCTGGAATTGTAGCGGGTTTACAATGTTGGCGTCGAGTAGGGCTTGATGGTGCAGAAGAAATAAAGAGCGCATGGTGGGAAGGGTAGAATGAACTATTGGAGAGAGACTCCAAAAAAGGTTTTCGCTTTGAGCTTTTGGTAGGAGAAGAAAGCGGAGGAGTTACAGGGGCACTATTTGATATACGTAGAGGAGGTAAAGAAGATTGAACAGACGCCAGGTTATGGATGAAAGGGAGGATATACGACGGGGGATTTGCATCACCTCTGGAAGGGCTAGGGAATGAAGATGACACGGGGCTGGCATGGTAAGAAGGTGCTGGACTGGGAAAGCACGATGACATTGGGCTTGGCTGGACCGAAGAGCATGCACTTATATTTGCCGAAACACCCATGGTCTCAGTCGGGGGTGGTCTGTGCCCCTGTGTGTCAAACATCATAAAAAGAGTTAGCATTTCCTAGACTGAATGACAAAACACAACTACCAATCACACATTCATTCACCTCAAGAATGCAACAAATTTAAATACATAACCATCAAAGTAACAACACTGTTGGCAATCTACCAGGAATAAGACAAAACAACCTCTTCAGTGAACTAAAAAATCAAGAAAAAAATGTCAAATAGGCCACTAAACTTATCATTTCTGTGCAATTAGGTCACTGAACTTAAAAAGTGTGCAATTAAACCATTAAATAAGTAAAATATATGCAGTTGAGACATTTTTCCTATTTTTTCTGGTAGAATGCGATCATATTACTGGAACTGATATGTACTAAAAATCGCCTTTTCATCTGCCATACTAGTTGGGATGAAAGATTAAAATGCTTTCAACTTAAATTGCATTAAAAATCATAAAAACGTCACAATTGTACATATTTTGCTTGTTTGGTGGTTCGATCGCATACTTTTTCAGCTCAAGACCCAATTGTACAGAACAATAAGTTCAGTTACCTCTTTGACACTTAGGTCCAAAAATCAATACCAAAAGTGCAGCCCTCTTATTGGAGCAAGGAGATTTGGTAGACAATGAACCCAATTGTAAAAATCATGGTAGATTATCATCATAAAAAGACCAGTCAGAAGCTTGCAACTAAATTAACGCTTAACCAAGCTCCAATCTTACATCTTACAGATTATTCTCACAGGACTTTAATCAAACACTACACAGGCAATATGCAAGATCCAAGCGACAACAAGCAGACCAGTACAGCTCCAAATCAAAATCATTATAAAACTTTGCGCATTAAGCTTAAGTTTAGGTTGCTCCCCAGATCTAGATCTATGATCAGAAATGAAAAACAAAACAAAAAACAAAAACAAAAAAAAAAAAAAAAAATTAAGGAGAAGATAGTAAAGCTGTTACCTTGCGATAGGTAGTGCCATCTTCACCGACAACCCAACCAGCTTCAGCACACAAAGCCTTCAAGACCTCGTTATTGTCGCAGTGTTTGGGGAGTTTATAGTTGCCCTGAGCTCTAAGCCCTGCGAAAATCTTGGCGGCTATGGCTCGCCTCCTCCTCTCTCTCCGCTTGTTGTTCTCTCTCTCCTTCCACGTCGGAAGCCGTCCGGATGACCCCTCGCCGGGCGCCGTCATTCTTGAGAAGGAAGAAGATGAAGGGCTAGTACCAAGTACAGAGTCTACTGGAAAGAATTGCAGAGTATAGTACTGGCAGATTAGATCCTCTCCTCACAGAAAAAGTTAGCCGATAATTCTGCCCTAAAACCGTACCGAATGGAGCTTCCTGCCAGTTCAAGATGGAGGTTATACAATTTGGGTATTCTGCAGGGCAAAATATGTTAATATGAGAAAATGTTCCTTAAGCCATAACTCATTAACTCCCAACAAATATATACGTATGACATGGGTAAATCCTCAACTTTAAAAGCTTGGATTGTGAGTAATTATTTTCAAACTTTAGTTATGTAACCAATTGAGCTGTTCATGCGTGTGGGTAAGTGAATTGTTAATTGTATTTATATCGTGTTAAAAGAAATAAATTGTGAATCTTCACATTATCACGATAGTAAAACTTTGAAGTAATCAGTTGAGCCAATCGTGCTAGTTTAATTGAAATTATCACAAGAATAAAACTTTAAGATAATCAGTTGAACAAATTGTGTTAGTTTAATTGAATTAGCCCAGAAAGACTAATCTATGCTCATTTTAATGTATTGTAATTTCATTTTGATAGTCGTTGCCTAATAGTGGGTGAGTAAATCTCGTATTCTGAAAAGTCATTGCATAATGGTGACTGACCCTCTTGATCGTTGATTAATGATGGATGAATCTATTCCACTCAGCAACACCCCAAGTTATTATTGTTATTATTATTGTATATTCAATATACATAAGAAGGATGAAAAAGGTTTAGAGAAGGAAGTTGGGGGTGGGAATAATAATATGAAGAGTTGGAGGAGCGTGAAGAAAGAAAGAAGATGGTGATGCATGCGTTACATTACGGCATATGGGGGAGGTTTGAACGGGTCTAAGATAAGGGTGGGGCCGACATGGAAGAAAAACCATACTCGCACAGTCGGCTGCGCACGTGCGACACAGACACTATCCAAAAAGGATACCACTTTCCACATTTCACATGTCGCCGGGGCAGGGGACACGTCAACCTGCTCCCTGCCCTCCACTCTCTTTCTTCTTCTTATTTTTTTTTTTCTTTCATATTTTTAAAATTCCGCTCCCTTTTTATTTTATTCTTTAAAAAAAAAAAAAAAAAAAGAGAGATTGGCTTAATGATTTTCGATTCAACAGAGCATTTTTTTTTTTTTTTTTTACATTGAAGAAATAAGAGATTCTGTTTTTTGAATATTAAATGTGTTTCGTGTGGGGGAGAAAAAGACGGAAAGTATGAATTGTGGATTAAGTATTAGGGAAGGAAGCGGTGAGATGAAGCAAACAACCAACAGCTAAGCGTGAGGAGATGAGACAAATTGGCCACCAAAGCATTCAAACAACTCATAAAAAGAGATAACTCTCATTTTCCTCCATATTATTAATTATTAAAAAAAAAAGAAGATAATTTTGTTCATTTATATCGAATTAAAACAAAAAGCGCGATAAAAGTATATATTTTTGTCACAGAAATTTGTGTGGTGGTGAAAAAAGTTGTAGTAATGGAACAGGGGGGTGTGATGGGCAAATTATTGTATAGACCATAACAAAAAGTACATTATTGATGTATTAAATGTATATACGAAATAATATACTTTTAATACTCAAATAATATTTTTTTAAAATATAATGTACAATTTTAATATATTACAAATACAATATTTATGTATTAAATATACATTATTTGATAGTATAATCTACATAATTGTGTGGATCATGGTCCACACACTAATAATTGGGTGAGAGTGGATGTCACAGGCAAGAACAGCTGGATATCTCCGCCCGTGTGGCAGTGTGATCATGTGGTTTGGTTGCCGGTTGCCCTCTAAACCACCACGTGGGGCTTTTTATATCTTTTTCTTTTATGCCATTTTTTCTTTTTTGATGGCATCCAAATAAATTACCTTCACTTTTTTTTTGGGGGGTTTTCCTCCCTTTCTCTTTCTTCTTAAAATTTGAAGTAGACTTATTTGTTAAAAAAATTATTTAAAAAGAAAAAAAACAATCAAAGCTTTACACAAGTGGACCTTTAAAGTAGTCTTGAGCTTCTAGACAAAATATACTATGCACCTCTTGATACAAGTTATTTTTTAATATCATTTTGATACACATTTATTTTTAGTGCAATATACTACATGTTTATTTTTAATATATTACAAGTTAAAATGAAATTATAATACAATAGTAATAGGATTATAGGACAACACTACTTACCTTAAAATGAAAGAATGACCCAACCGACAATCATTATACATGGTCCACATTTTTATAATGTTCATTTTTAATATATTGAATGCACTTTTTTTGAAGGTTCATTTTTTGTTTACCGGAAGTCCATTATTTGGTAGTATACCAAATAATGAATCTTCAGTATACAAAAAATGAGTCTTAAGTATATTAAAAATGAATATTTATCTATAGTCCACATTGCAATGTGGACCATGGTCCATAGTATAATTTGCCCCCAGCCGAATACTGAGTTTGGACACCCAAGTTTTCATCAAAGGAGGAGAATTTTTCTATATTTCATATCAGCTCTCAAAGTCAGAAACTAAAGAAACTTCAAAATGAAAAAGAAACCATTTTAGGGTATCACAATTCACAATCCACAACCCATAAAGTGAAGAAATGAGTCCTTCCATAGGCACACATAAGAAACACAATGATAAAGGACCAGAGAGAAGCAGCAGGCATCATGTACTTGTTTAAAAAGGGCATCACCTTCAGCAGCAATGCCATAAATTGTACACTGGTACTAAGATGAGTGGATGACCAAAAGTAAAAGTAGTTGCTGACTAGATTTACAACCAACTTACAGAACACTTCCAAACCCACCATGGTTATGTGCATCGAGGAAAGTATGTCTGGTCCACATATCCCCCACTCATAGCCCTTCTCACGTTTGATTGAAATAACTTTGGGTTGTCTCTCAACACCGCAGCTGCTTCGTGGTTGAGTGGATCCTCGTGATTCGGATCCTGCATGAGGATAGGGACAGAGTCTGATTATACCGTAGTTAGGGAAAAAAGCAAATATAAATCCTAGATGTTCAATTATTCAAGTGATACCGTGAAAAGATGATATAAGCCATAAACAACAGTATTAATGTTGAGGACGGGTTTCCAATCTTCTCTGAGAATATTGAGGCAAACATTCCCTTCCAAATCAATATTAGGATGGTACACCTGTATTTTACATGAGACATGAGAAAACATAGTTTCACCATGTATACGTGCTAAAAGAATGCCATTAACTATTGGCTTACAACATGCTAACATGAAAAGAAAGACACTTAACCTTTGTCTTGCACTTGACTTTTGGCGGCTCATGTGGATAGATAGGAGAAACTTGGAACGAGAATAAAAATTTCCCACCTCTGTGAAATTCAAATCAATACTATTCAGTTGAGTTTTCTATTTCATGAAGAGACACAGAAGTATTTAGGCTGCCAGAAGAAGTTTCTAACCTCATACAGTCCTACATCCAAAATACTATGAAGATACCCATACCCACCCAAACGGAAGAAAATATAATACTGAACAATTAAATTACTTACTGATAATATCCATCATCTGGTTTAATGGTGATTTCAAAGTTCATCAGATTGTCACTCCCATTGGGGAAGGCAATTGTACAAGATTTGGGTAGGTTCAGCTCAGTGATGTCTGTAAATCATAAGAGATTATAAAGTGATTCTTTAATTTTACAAGGGAAAAAACTAAAAATTTCTTATGAGAATATATCAAAGCAAAATTTTCAAATCAGTCATGTATCAACACACACCGAGACTCCAAACAAGAAGGCCACTCAGAGCCCCAAGTTTTGAAACTCCATAAATAATTAAAATACAACTGCAAGATATCATACAAAGCAAAATAACTGTTTCTGCCAAAAGGATTCAGAAAGGCAACAGTAAAAAAAATATTGGAATAGAATCAAGACCTTTGCGCAAGCGTAGTTCCCCAGCACTCTGTCTGTTAACAGGGCCATTCCCACTTGCATTTTCATTAGCTTTTTGTTGCTGCTTTACTTTGAACAATTTGATCATTGTACCTAAACGAGGGAAAAAGAAATTGGATACATTCAAGAATATCAATCGTATTTTCATAAATATTGTAAAATTGTGCAGCAGAAAAACACAAACTTACTATCAGAGTATAACAGACGAGCAAATTTTACTACCAAGCTGATTTACAACACACATTTCACCAGACCGAATGATGTAGAGTATTCTTGTAGAAACATAAAATATTAAATCCCTAGCATTCTTTCAACTGTGAAATTCTCACTCAAACCATTTAACAAACACCATAATTGCAAAATATCATACATATTTCCCCTCATTGTTTCCTTGCAGGGAAGCACAAAAACATCAAGAAAGCTTTCCTGCCCACTAAACCATTAGCAAAGCATAGCAAGTTTTCAAGGGTTATAGTCTTTAACCATACACCTCACACCAATGAAGCCCAAATGCTTATGCTTGAAATGAAATCACCATAAACAGACACAATGGAAAGATTCTGTAATTTCACGAACTAAATTCCGATTTTATCCACAGGGGCAGGGGAAATCTCACAGATTGACTATCTAAGCATGAAAAAAAACTTGCTCAAAAGCCCTAAGCCCGTAATCTATGAAGAAACAACAGTTTTCAGCTCACGGATTAAAACATTCTGCTCGAATATATAGCAAACATATTAAAAACAAAGGAATCAGACAAATAGAATCGATTAATTGCACCAAAACAAAGAAGAATTATCGGAGTTACCTTCTCGGAAAAGGGCTTAAACTCGAAATTGTGATTAGTTCTGAGGCTGGAGAGCTGTTCACGATAACGTAGATTGTTTAGCGATTCGGCCGGATTCCAATACGGTGCTATCAGATTTCTACTCAAATACAAAGATTGTAAGAAATGAGAGAAAGCTTATTTATTACGCTTTTTTTTTTTTCTTCTTTTTATATATTTTTATTTTATTTTATCTCAATAATTCCCATTTTTCCTTTAAAAAAAAAAAAAAGACTTAAAAATGCATATCACTAGGTTAAAAATATGTGTAATTATATTTAATAAATAAAAATGGTGTAATTTACATTTTTTTATTGACATTCGAACCAGTTCATTGATTACATCATCAAAGTTAGCTTATGAATCGAGATTTAACTCTTTTGAAAGGCCAACATTTGCAACGC